ATGAAAAATTCCGCTGTTTGTTATTAAAACCTTACAAGGAGTAATACTCGGAAATAGTATAAAATCGATAAATCTTGAAAACTTTCCGACTCAGTTTTCAACTTCTAAGAATGGAAATCTTTCATAAACAATTACTTCGCGGATAAACATGTTCACTCGTCTCATAACAGGTTATTGAAATTTCTCTTGACCTGATGCCATTCCACGACTGAGATGACATTCTTGTCGTAGAGTACGAAATGCCAATGTTACAAGGTGATATTTTAATTGTGTTATTGATATGTCCATATCATTTGGAAACTCTCTTGACCAAACAGGGTATGCTTTTCAATCTAAATCCTCCTTGTTAATCTTGAGTTCCTGCTTACTATTTTCGAAACACCTGATGATAATTCTTGCTTGCAATGTATACTCTCTGAAAGGGGACACTGAATTCGCACATGCCAATAACATATTAACATTATTAGCTATGTATACTATCCAAAAGGAAGTCGAATCTTCATACATTTAACAATAAATGCTACTGAGACGTAAACATCGACTTTCTTCTTGTATGAATGAGGACATTGTAACCATATAACTATTTTCTCCTCGTGATTCTATACTTCTCATTGTATTCTATTCCTGGAATATCTCCAAGAACACTTAATGTGAATCAATGGCAGTCTAATAGAATAAACATTCTGAATGGCAGCAAGGAAAGGTAAAGAACTCCAATATCTGGTGCCATGATTTAATAGTGGTCTTGATACTTCAGGAATTTCTGGTATATCGTGGTATTGGAATTGATATTACATGGGTATGAAAAGAAAAGGACAATAGCGGTATATTCAAGTGGTGGGTCTATTTGTTTTGCTGATGGGTGTCGGGGGAAGGGGAATTAATTGTGGCTTGATGTTTACACTTTGTCGAGGACTCTGATTGGCGATACAAATTGTGCATTTCCTTGATAATAGATGAATATCTACACAACAAGATCTTTCCGGGTGTTTTAGTCATACTTTACTCTGAACTTATTCTTGGCGGATCTTAAATTTTAACAATCGTATATGGGTACAAAGTACAAGTAAATGCTGCATTGTTTGTTATCCGCTTGACCAATCGTACCTTAATTCAGAAACAGGAAAATTTGAGCCTTCATATCCGTGTGTATCCGGAATTATCCGCGTTTGAATGTTAAAATGACGAGTCGCCTTTCTCTGACAGAGCTTTAAGGTTTATTAACAGTTAATATCTTATAAAATATATGTGAAGGCTATGTCCGCAGTACATATTTTGGTGAATGTATCCCTTTTAGAGCAAGTGAAGTGGTGAATGGAATGGAATACTCTTGAAATATATTTCATTTTAATTCCAATTGACTCATTCTCACTTTAAGGGATTGTAAAGAGGCTTTCTATTTCCAATTTCCAGTCTGTGGTTCCTGTAATTCTACTAAACAATGTGTTTGATGCATCACAAATCGCAAAATATGCTTTATTACATAAAGACTTCGCGCTTAGTTTTAATCGAATTGCAGAAAACACAGATTGAAAATTGGGCTGGTGCAAATTAATGATATCAAAGTCCAAGAAAATTTTTAGAAACCTCTTTACAATCCCTTAAAACAGAGCTTCGTGATCTATCTCAATATACACATCTTTTATGTGAGGTATATGTCCTCCATACATGTTAAGATGACTATATACTTCTAGAGCCAGTGGAGCGGTGAGTGTCTATATTACAAGAATCCTGTGACCTGTGGTATTAAATACCAAAAACTCTGTGCAATACAAACTTCAAATTGGGTAACAATCTCTGACGAATTGTTTACCACAGTCTAAAAATTAAATATTTCATAATTTCTTTCACAATCAAGTTGTTATAAATCATAATCGAGAAATCATTTCATATATATATATATATACATATATATATATATATGTATGTCTTTATTGATACTGAACCGTAGGGCGGCATCATGTATTCCGGGACAAGATTCTTTTATGTGAATGTTTGGAAGAGTATATCAATCTTGGACTAGCACCTTGCAATTTTACTTTAATAACAACGTCTAAGGAGTGTTTAGATCAGTAACTCAAATGAACGGCTGGTTGAATTTGATGAATCCGGCCCTTTTTCTTGAAAATTGAAATATGTCGACATGACTGGTGGGTGACTGTCTCTCACATGTCCGAGGGTGTAGGGAAGGGTATGGGTTTTAAAATAACTTCCTATTTCCAAGGGTATGGTGACAAGAATGAGTCGAACCCTTTTTGTAAATTTACACTTACATGTGACAGTGGGTGTGTGGAAGGGTTCGGATATTAAAGTAACTTCCGGATTTCCAAAGTTATGGTGACAAGACTGGGCATCAATGCGTGTATTTACTATCGATATTTTGTCGTTTTGGGTAATACTGCTCGATAGAATGATACAAGTGACGCAGTGGTGTCTATTTGTTAAATTGTACATCTTCATTTCTTCTCTAGTTTGGGCTAACGAATCCCCTCAGTCAGTCAGTAAGCTAAATGGATATTAAGGATGGGCAAGGATGAACAATTGTATTTGATTTTATATATCATTTATTAAGAATACTGCAATGCCATAGAGTATTTCAAAAATAACATATAACAATATATCATGATTATCGATAATAAAAAATACTAAAATTCCAATATAGTCCCACACCAAGTCACGTGACATCAACAACATTCAGAAGAGAGTCCGTTAATTGGTTCTATTTACTAGAGGCATATTTACATACGAATTGATTTAAACAGAAACTAATTCAGCCTAAATGCTCAATCACTCTTATAACAAGCGACTTACAAATGGATCTTTTGGCTGATTTCGTTAAAAATTTAAAACAATTGTCTGTCTATAAATAAGCCTCTACTTTCTAATATAAATTCAACTCTATAGTGTTACATGTTCAATATTAGAATTCAAACGTTGAAATAATCCTGAAGAATTAAATACATTCACAACCAAATTATTGACGAACGAACGAACGAATGAATAAATGGATAAATGAATTGTGCGAATAGATACAGTTTGACTGGAAAAGGATGAATGAAAGAATGAAACCGAATTATTCTAACATGAAAATATAGTCAACCAAATCAACAATCCAAATTTTAACTCCATTTCAAAGCAAAATATCACACAAAATATTCTAAATAAATATGACCAAATCTTTCAAAAAATGTCGAAATTATATCTTTAAAAATTCAAAATAAATCGTTACTGATCACAATCCTGATTTACTAGTATTCAAATAAAAAATACAATTTTGATGAAAATGGAATAAATTTATATTTGATATTTTGGAAGATCTCATCAATGCTAAGGTTCAGTCGCCGTGCCTTAGCAAGGGTAGAATAAATAACAACTTGTAATACCTTTGCCAGGGCACGACGGTTTGATTTGATAGAAAAACAGATCGTTTCAACGTTTTTATTCCGAATTTTTTGGTATTCTAGCATTAAAAGAACAGTTCATTACATTTGAATAAATGACATAACGAGGTATGAATAAGATTAAGCGGCACAGGGCCTCGTAACTTGGACACAACAGTTGGAAAACGATAACTCACATGTCCCTATGTGGACATTTTTTAGTGCAGTTATGAATAATAAAAAAATCATCATCAATATGACTGTTCCAATGTGGTTTCAAAAAATGTTACCCATTAATATGTGAACAACTTTTGAAATAGTGAAAATACAAAATTGTACAAAAACATTTCATGCTCAATGAATATTTCTCGTTTCATGTTTAATAAAAGATACAAATAGTGCCATTACAGAAATTTACTTGATTTGAAAATAATCTATAGTACTATACACTATAATCAAATAGGTCTAAATGAGGAGTCTAAAAACGACGTGTTGGAAAGTTGACATACCAATTACGAAGTGGTATTAAGCTTCAGAATGTGTTTCGTACAAAAACTGACTTGTTTAAACATTACGTACACATAAAATGATTTATATTACAATAACATAACGCCATTTTGACAAAACTTTAAAACAAGTCTATACGAAGATTTCATAAAGGTATACAAGCGTAATAATAAGAGAGAACTTGAGAACTGTCAGTTCAGGGTGACCGGGATTCATTTAGCACTATCTCGATGCAATTTGGGTGCTGAAAGCTTGGGACTGAAGCAACTTTGTCAGTTAGGACATAGAATTTTAAAAAATATACTTAACATTTAAATCTGATATTAACAATAAAAAAATTAAATGAATTTCGAGCTGACGTTTAAATAAATAAAGTGACCAACTTAGAGCTTAACTCATATGCATAAATTTGAGCTTAAACTTAAGAGTCGAAGTTTGAGCTATCGTACCTAAGCAAAGAAATATTCCAAAAACTTAATCTGTATCGATATACAAAGTATGAATACAAGACAACTCGGCAAATAATGAATACAGTGCTGAAGTAGGATAAATATAGTAACCACCAAAATGTTTACATCATACCAATTTCAAATTTCGAAATCAGCCAATATTTTGAATCATAGATTTGATATTAGATCAGATTTGATGAATTGCCATTTGTGTTTATCATGTGGTCTCCGATATCTCTCTTAAAGACAGCTTCAGCACTATTTCAGTCGCGAAATGGAAGTTCACAATACATACTGACAATAGCACTTAGACATAGGGACACGAAATGGTTCTGATAGATTCAACAAAGAATAACCAATACTGCGTGTGATAACATATATAAACAATCTCAAAAGACTTACAATTAAAAACATTGACTTGAGATCACACTGTCACAAAATTAACCATAAAAATTGTTAAAATTCCAAAATGTGAATTAACAACATTGAAAAATAGACAATAAGAAGACGTTAGGTCTGAAAAGTTTCACTGAATCGAAAGTCATTCACCGCTTTAAGTCGAGTTCAGCTATAAGATTTTCTATCCGTATCGATGGATCTAAAAGTGTGTGTAGATAGGTCATGATTGAAACATTTTTGAAAACCCAGGAGGAACAGAAGCTCCCATGTTTTTAAATAATCCTTTTAAAACAACTAACTCCTTCGTTATTGTCTCGAGTCGTTCATTAAGACGTTCGTTTTCCATCTGTAGTTCACACATCCTTCGTTCATTGTCTTGTTGACGATTTTTTGCCTTGGCTCGACTTTTCCTCACAGCCACGTTATTCCTCTCCCGTTTTTCGTTATATTCTATAGTTCCGGGCACTATGTACTTTTTCTTCGACTTCATGTATGGCGCACAACGTCTGCGAGGGGTCGAAGATAAGTCCTCAACTGAAGAGGGTGACACCGGGTTATGAGAACTACAACTACTACCAGGAGAAGAACTGCCCCCAACTCTCCCTTCCCTATCCTGAGGGGGTGGGGGAACATAAACACAAGCACTCGAGACACTGTTCGTCGTTGACATGGAATAGGTATCACAAACAGGGGCGTCTCGGGACGAGGTTGACGTTGAATGGAGGCTGTCAAACTGTCGTAACACACTAACAGTCGAATCTATGATAGAATCCACAGCTCGTAATTCTGAAAACACTGACTCACGTTCGTATTCCGGACGACATTCGTAAGGAGACACGGGCGTAATGAAAGCCTGTCCGTTGTAATAGTTTGTACTCTCGTTGTACGCCATCGGTTGTGGACTTACAGGAGAATACAAAGTCTGTTCCATAGAATCTGTGTACATTTTCTTATTCCAACTCGAAGTTACCAGAGGATAATCGTAGAATAAAGAATCGCTAATTTCCTCCACACTAGGACATGGTGAAACAGGCGAATACTCGCTTGAATAAGATTGTCTAGGTGAGATATACTCAAAATTATCTATCTTGGCGGTTGAATAAAACCACAGAGTTAAAATATCACGAAATTGATGAAAACAATCAGTTTCCCTCAGCTACGATCCTTTTTACTCTAGTATATGTATCCAGTAGTAAGGTAAACTTGTTGAATGGCGTGATTCCCTCTCTCGTTGTATTTATATAAAGCAATATACCACCTGACTTATGACGTAGTCAATGATGCTATTTTTACTACATACGACACTAACTTAGGGCAACCCCAGTATCTGGAGGTTTGACGTCATTCTACTCTATGTTGTGTGCGCAGACTCAATCTATGAAGTCATATACTATTATTATCACCATAGACGATGTAAAGTTATAGAGGGAAGCCCTTTGACGTCAATGGAATTATAAATAGCTATTATTGATCGAAAATAGCTCGGGGAATGTTTAAAATAGCACGGATTTACTAGACTAGGATAGCAAGACCGTCACTGAGAAGCAATGAGCTAGCGATGAATGACAGAAGTTTCCATTAAGGCAATGCTAAAGAATGGTTGAATGGGGATTGATCGATAGAACCATAACGTACATCCCTTCCGTATGATGTATATAGTAACCGTGTCCCTCTAGGCTCTTCTATACTCTATCTATGATGTACAGACTTGTAACAGTGTAGCCTAGTTTCCCTCTCATTGGGGGCGTGTTTTCATGTTTTCCTTGTCGTATGGACCACGCAAACAACAATCGCTGTAGCGGAAGATTTGCTGAAATGACGGTTCTAGAAACCCAGAGTTCGGGGCTATAAGGGGGTGGGGGTTGTAAACAGTGTGGGTGGCCAGCTGATCCGGAACATCATCATCAAATGCATGCTTTTAGTGGAAAAGTCATAAAATTGTAAATGGTAAATAACATTGTTACTAGAGCATTCATTATAACCATGTATTGAGAGTTACTGATAACATCGACAGTGTATAATATTCACATCGGTGTACTTATTGCTCAAAGAATGAATTAGAATTTTACGTACGCCCTACTTACTTTAAAAGCAAAATAGGTCAACTATATTCTATTTAATCCAAGCAGGATAAACAAAATTACATATTGTATTGTCAAATATCAATCTCTAAACTCATATGTCATATCACGTCTAATGACCCCTTCTGCCTAGCTTGTATACTATTTGTGGGTAAATAGCCTTCTTCAACATTATTTTATTATACATGTATTGTTAACGGAGTATTATGTCCATATTATTAGTATTTCTTTCATTTGTTTTAGTATTTTTTATAATTTTCATGTTAAAATTTCACTGGGCAAAATTGTAAAGAGGCCTTTGGCCTAATTTTCACCCTTCTCATTAAAGATTTTATTATTATTATTATTATCATGAATATTAGGGTAGGTAGGGCATAGAAGTCGGGCTATGGGAGCTGAGGATTCATTGGATGTTTTTGAACTCTAATCACTATCAGAAGCAATAGGGTGTCTATTTTGCTCCCATTTCAAAAATTATATGCACACAGCAGCTAATGATACCCCACTGATTTGCGGAAAAAAATACATATTATCAGGATGCGCAAATATTGTTCAAACATTTGTTCCAACCTAGAGTTCTTGTCTATTCAAGCACCTGTTTTCATGGCCATTTTCGGGGGTGATTTGGGTCTTGAAATAACAAAGTCTTACGAAGTATCAGACCGGTGGGCTGTAAACACTATTAATGATTAGCTAAGCTCAAAAATTTCCGTTCTGAGCCTATGTACGATTGTTCAAATGGATGGCGAATCTGTTACTTGAAGTATTAGAACTTGCTAATGCGTTAATTTTCAGACGCGTAAGATCCCACACTTGACGTGCAAGATGGGGGTGACTTAAAGCTTACGGTTAAGTTTTCATTTTATAGTGATAATAGCCAATTATCATTATCTTACGGGATTTTTTACAGGATAGTAAACATGTAGTTAATTATTAGTTATTTAGTATTACATAGGTAACGGTGAATACACGTCAAATGCTGCTAATATCTATATCACGTCTCAAGTTTTAATTTTTAATAATTCAGTACAAAAATCTGGTCAGATCTGTTAAAAGTTGTTAACACCACAACCAGGATAAATGTTGTTGACGTTGCAACCAAGTTAAACGATGTTTACAATGCAAAAAAAATCATCAAAGGCTGTTAACACTGCAACCACGTCAAACGCTGTTTTTTCCTCCTAACACCAAAAAGACGTCAAGGGTCATATTTTCATCAAGTAATTGCAAACGATATAATTCAATTCATTATCTCATAACGTGTGCAATGTAGCCTGTTTTTATGTGCAGTAAGATGACAACAGACGGAAATAAGACCTCTTATTGAATAATTCATTCCAAGAAATATGTTTCCTGATACCGAATGACAACCCCTGAAATTCCTTTCGTTACAACTGCCGACAAACTTAATATTTGTCAAGCGCAGTGGAAAATCCCAGGTTGAGGCGTTGTCACGATTACATGATTCAACTAATCGTAACTATCCTAAGATTTCAAAATATTTGGCCGACCTCATTTTCATCTTCGATCACTCCAGACTATCAATACAGTTCCTGCGGGTAACTATAGCTACAATTGATTCTAATATTTGAACATTCCTCTTATTGTTTTCAAAACGTATCAATGACAACATTGTGTTTGTTTGAAAATTAGATCCTTGGATATGTGGCGAATCTAGGGACATGCTTCTTTATGCTGAAGCCAGTTTCTCGTCAGTGTTTATGCTGGCGAATCAGCAAAGCGAAAGAAAATGGTGCACACGTTTTGAGCAATGGGTAACAACTATAGGGCAAATCAAAAGTGTCTCTGTTGTGGCATATGCGGCTTGGTCTAATTGCTTTCTTATTCACTTTGAGTCATCTTTATCTTCAAAAGATGTTTTGACTTGCTGATATGAAAATAGGTAATATGCCAAAGAGTATACGGGGATGCTAAGGATTGAATAATTGTGAGTTGTCGAAGGAGTTGATCGTTTCATGGTTAGAGATTTGCTGTGTTCGTAGTGTCGGCCTACCTGACGATTGTGATAACGTTACCGATAATAAACATTGAAGTATGACTAAAAGTCTGATGCCGGTGAAGTGCTCTGACGTCATTCCTAGAAACATAATATACACAAGTACTCTAGAAATTGATCGGGGAGAAAACACACGTACACCGTTTCATTGTATAAACATACACTGTATTGAACTGCGGTAACAGATGTGGAGATTCCTCAACATCTAACCTTGGCTTCATTCAGATCAGGTGAAACTCTCATGGTGATATGACGTCAAGGATTCACACGCGATATCTCCCGCCATTCACTGCCAAATCTCTACATATACAGATAGTATTATTATCAATGACCCCGGGTCGATTTCGGGTCTATTAATATCCCTTCGACCAATCATATTCGTCAGAACTCTAGTACTCTTCTAAATATAAGTATTACAACAAATATAGGAATATCCCCATTCTGATATATCAATTATAATCTTCTATTCAACGAAGGAACATGATAGAGTATCCTACGTCAGAGAAAAGCCGATTAGATAAAAGACTACTACGTCACTGTTACTGGGGATACCCCCATTGTTTATCTGGCACGAGCTAAATATAGCGTGACAATGTACGTAAATAGAACAGTCGGATTAAAATAGTGACTAGCTTCCATAAATAACCAGGACAATTCTTAAATTAGAAAGCGAGATGTTGTATATAGATCCATTGATTGTTCGTGAACGGAAGAGTAGTATTGGGAATTGTCTTTTGTTGTCAATAAATATCCAGCACTCAGAATAAAACGTAGCTTGAAGCCATCAGGCCTATTAAGATTAGCTATATCGTCATCGTTCTGATTGTGCTATTACATTCTGATTGTGCTCAAAATAACCACATAAATTCATATTTGTAAATATATATATAGGCATTTCCTTTCATATCCTGACCAAAATTAGATGAAATTTGAAAAACATTTATATATAGAAAGTTCAAAATTGTAAAATGATTAAAATATAATTTTATTAAGTATTGGAATAATGCTACTTATCGAATCTCGAAATAGCGGAATAAAAAATGTTATAGCTCTAGATGCCGTGATCCTTTGCGCACTCTATGATGGCTTGATGGTCTAATTTTTCGTTCTCATTAAGTTGGCTTACATCGCTGCTCGTATTTATAATTCCCTTGACTTTACAATCTCTAGGTTGGCGTACTGGTTTGTTCAAAAATTTCCCATGAAATTTAACCTGTATTATTCCTTGTTTTCCGGTTTTTGCCCTATATATTTTAATATCAAGATAATATTGGAAGGGGGGGGG